CTCCTAAGTCCTAAATAACATATTTTTCTTTACTAATAAAAAAAAACCCAAATTTATTATCTCAATCTCAACCCTCTGGGGTGCCGCTAGCTAATTGAAAGAAGCAAAGCAAAAAGTATAGATTAAAAAAATAATAGTAATTATCGGGGAAAGAAAAGCATAACAGCAACCAGAACTAGCAGGCTAGTTTTACATAAAGGCAGTGGCGGAGCCACGTGTACACCAGGGGGTCACCGCCCCCTTGGATTAAAAATATATATATAATTAATTTATGAATTATTATTATTAAAATTTTAAATATTATATTTTTAATTGTTAAAATACATAAAATCAAAAAATATAATAATAATAAGTTGTTTTAGGAGCCCAAATATAATCTATATAAATCATTATCCATTTTAACAGTTTAACAATTTATTATTATTTAAAACCCACCTATCTCAGAGTCTACAATTAAATTATGTAGAAAAAAAAAATAGAGTCTCATGTTTTTTATGTCATTTCTTCAGTATTCAACCCCATTATCAAAGTGTTAATCTCCTTTAACCAATAAATCTCAACCCAACAACTTCAAAAATAGAAAAAAAAAAAAAAAGAAAAAGAAAAAAGAGAGACTCTGCTGATGACCTGACACAAGCAGATGCAACATTGCTCTCGTTATTGAAAGCTTAAAGACAAAGGGACCACCAAAGAGATCACTAACTTCTTGGTAAAATCTAAAAACAATATTATATTTTTTTATATGAATCATATATTGCCATATTGAGTTTTAACTTTCAACTTCTGTAAGTTTATTTTATTTTAAAATTTTGTCTTATAATTATTAGTAGATATGTTTTAATAAAAAATTATTATACTTTTTCTGTTCCAAAATAATTGATATTTTTTATTTAGAATTTATCCCAGAATAATAGTCATTTTTTTTTATTTTAAGAAAGATAAATAGTTTTTTTCTACTTTAACCCTATAATTATCTCTTAACTTTAATTATTTATCTTCTTATTAAAGTAGATATTTGTTCTTAATTATTTTTTAAGTATAAAATAGGTAAAGATAGAAATTGTTTTCAAATCCTTTATTTGAAGATAAAACAAAAAATTTATTATTTTAGTATGTAGGGAGTAATATTTGAATAATGAAACTTATTGATTTTTTATTATTAAAAAAATTGTATAATTTCCTTTTAGGATTTAGAGTTGTTGAAATTACAAATAAAATTGAATATTATGATAATATTGAAGTTATATGGAATAAAATTGGATTTGAGTAAAAAATATTGAAAAAAAAAAGAAAATTGTATAGATCCATAAACGGAACATATATAAATCCAATAAAAGGAAAAATTTGGATATAGTTATGTAGAGAAAAGCAATAGGAATATAAATTAGTATAAAAGGAAGATAAACTAGTATAAAAGGAAGATAAACTAGCATAAAGTATAATTAACTTGTAAAAGGGGAAAAAATTGTTTGATTGTAAAAAATGGTAGGTGAAGATATAAAATGTTGTTGTATTTCATATTTGCCAAGCTCACTTGTGGAGGTGGAGAATCTCTTCACCTTACTAGCAACAATAGAAAGAGCATTTTTTACCATAAAAATTATAAAAATGAGATTTCACAGCAAAATAGAGGATGGATTTCTTTCAAACTTTTTAATTATTTATATTGAAAAAAAAATAATATAGTCATTTAATGTTAACTTTATTATATATAGATTTCGTAATATGAAAATTTATCGAGTATTATTTTAATATATGACATAAAAATAAGTTTTAAAATTACAATACATTATTTTAAGACTTAAAAGACTGGCCCTTGTCCTCCATTGCATATAGGGATTTTTAAAGGATATCCAACCTAAATCTAGCTAGTGCATATTCTGTTTAAATTTACAGATTTCCCTTAATCTTTCAAATAGAAAATGGTAGCAATTCTTTCACAAAATCAACTACCAAAGAATATTCACTGGAGGCCCTCTCGCACATATCATCTCTGAAAAATGGCATGAGCCAAAAGGAGGTCACAACTCGAAATCCCAACTCCAATGGCCTGGAGATCATATTGACAAATTGCCAGTTCCTCCCCTTCATCATCTTCTTCTTCTTCATCACCATCTCAACATCCACAAGGATTCCTTGCATGACAAAGAAAACAGTGGACTCCAAGGTTGGATGCAAATGAGTTAGGTGATAATAAATTAGTTCGTGCATCAGGCCTGATATAAGGAATGTGACAAAAACTGCAGGCAAAAATCCCCACCTATCTCCAATTACACGCCTAGCAATATGGCGTAAAGGGTTATATATAGTTTGACGAAGGATATCTGAGCTCATGAGGTTCCACCTCCTGCCCCAAAAATCATGTAAGCTGGTGGCAAGTAAGGGCTCATTGAATTAAGGCTCTAGTTCAAACCCTAGAAAGAATTTTGGTGGGATTTCAAACACTGCATATATAAACTCAAATCCAAATTCAAAATGGAAGAGAAGAAGGATATTCAACAAGCGTCTGTTCAAGTGTTCTCTATGGTTGTAAGCGTGAACAAAATAATTGAAAGTACTACTTTTATAGCCAATGAAATTGTTCTAAGAAATGAATTGGGTTTTTCTTGTGATTTTGAAGGTGGAAATATTGTCTGATCTTAATGGGGAGAGAAGCTAAGAGATGAAATGAAGAAGTTTCGGTGGGGATGGAAAAAGAGGACCATGATTAAAGCAGAACAACACAAGTTTGAAATTGGCATACCAAGAAAGGAAGATGGATGCTATTCCACGAAGACTAAGGAAAGAAAGGGTCATCGGGAGGTAGAAGAAGAGAGAAAACACACGGATCAGGGAGAGGAGCCTTGAAATTCGTCTTGGGATTTTTGCTGCAACGTAGTAAGAGTAACATAAAAATATCATAGCTAAAACCCAAACCTTGATTGAGTTCTTGATTTCACCTAAAATAATTTGCAGCCCTTCTTCCATTTGATTATCTTTGTAATCGGTATTACATATCACCTCATTGGTGATTCAACTTTATTTATAGACATACAACCCTAAAATAATTAGTTGAAAATGGGGCAGGACCAAATTCGCTGGCAACACTCGAAAGCCGAAACCTTGAAAACTAAGGTTCATTAATTTGATGTCATGAGACTTGAACATCGGGGAATGCA